ATGATTCTATGATTCTATGAAAGTTGGCTTCCAGAAGTTGGCAGTAGGTCGTTATCTGTGTATGTTTTAGGTAATGTTCTGTGTCTGGTAGGTCTCTGTAATACTGTATTTAGGGTTTGTGTTGTTTTCTGGTTTGGAGCGTGGTTTTTATTTCATTTTGCTCAATATTCTCTTTGAAATATTGACATGATGAGAAAATGCTGGAGGTGGAAAGGTTGCCAGTCAGATTGACTTTTTTTTCCTTCAGATTTTCTCTGGTAATAAGAACTTAAACATTAGTGTTTAAAATAGAAAATATGTATAACTGTCAGATTTCTTAGCAGTGATTGAATCAACTGATGTAAAATTTGGATTTGCCTACAAGTGGCAGCCCTGTAACTACTTTACTACTGATGAGAATTAGTTTAGCTTTTGGATATTCTCACAAGATTGCTGCATGAAGTTCTTTATAGATTAATGAAGCATTTGATAAAAATTGTTCAAGGATATGGTCCCAAATGAGTTCTACTAAGACAGACCGACTCCCTCCATTTATCTTTATGGAGTGTTAACGCAATTTACTTAGAACGGAGTGTAAATGTTTGTGATGGCCAGTTCTCGTTTTACAGGTATTTTACATCCATGTGACTGAATGTGCTTGCTATATCTTGACTCGTTTGTAGTGGTTTGATGTATGAAACGTTTGATCTAAATGTTGGCTACGTTTTTGATCCATTTATGTCAAATATAATAGCATGCAAAAATGGCAAATGTATTAAATGTCTTAGTCATGAATAAATTGAAAGATCTTTTCTCTTTGAAATAGTTAAACATGAATGTTTTCAAAATCTTTTTTGTCTTCAGTGTAAAGACACTTTATGACTTCAAAATTAACAGAACTTGTATAATAAATAGCGTTAAAGGGGATATATTTTGGATCCTTTCTTTCGGCAGGATAGAATTTTTGCAGGCTTTAGATATTTCCATCTGATTTTTCTTCAGGTAGTTCAAATATAATGAAGCGTTCTATCTATAGCCATAATATCTATTAAAAATATATCTATACTTAATAGAGATGAAAACCTTGATTATTTACTAGTATGAGAAGTTGATATGTTCTTTGTAGGAACTGTATGTGTACATGTAAATTTTGCTAACAACACAATGCAGGGAATTAATGTGTAGTCTCCCGTGGCACTTATGGAACAAATGCCAATGGAAATGCTGGGTTATTGAAAGGGGCAGTAATTGCTATATATAAGTGCTTTGCAGTTAATGATAACATACTTTGTTATTAATTACAGTAATTACATTTCTTTCAATGAGTGCTTTCTGAAATGAATACAATAGGTATTGCCATTGATTTTAATACTTTACATTCAACTGATCAAGAAGGAAGATTTTTATTAAAAGACAAAACAAAACCCCAACAATTTTATCTTCCAAAGTCATTAAGTTCTAGCTCACAAGATAACACAGTACAACATGGAGAATCAGAGTATGTTGCAGAAGTCTGCTGAAGCAGGTCTCTGGCAAAAGGATTTTAAATTAGAGCATTTTCTTGATATGCATATATTCTCCTCCTTCATCGTTTTACTGTGGTAAGTTCCTGTAACACCTACAAACATGTTAGGAGGAACTTGTAACTCAGAACATTCAAGGGAGTAAAGGCAAAAGTAAAGATTAAAGTTTGATACCTCATATTGTTTGGACTTGTCATTTAAGAGCTGTGTGTTCACATTTTCACCCGTTATGAAAGGAATACAAATTCTCACAGAAGCTATTAGAGGTTTTTATTGTAGATCAAGGTAGATACTGCATTTCCCAGTATCAGAACCTTGCAGCAAGCCTCATACGCTTAATCTGGTAAAAGTCAAATTAACTGTTCGCTGACGTACTAACTGCTTGGATGGCATACAAAAAAAAAAATCTATGTGCAAAATACTACTCATTGACTTTGCTGTATAATTGAGTATTTGTTGCTTGTTAAATTTTCAATTCTTTCTTAGTAGGTCATCTTTTTAATACATCTTTCTTGAACGCTAATATCAAATATGACTGAGGCGAATGGAAAAGTGCAGTGTTGAAACAGCAAATGTCTTAAGCTGTGAAGAGCACAACACTTGACGATTAGCTTGCAGAAGTTTTCTGTAAGTTAATTTTTTTTTTTTTTTGCTTTCTTTTCAGGATACAATCTCACAGAAGTCAGTAGATATTCATGATTCTATTCAGCCTCGATCTTCAGATGGACGTCCGTATCAACCCAGCGCAGGGTCCACAGTAGGTGAAGAAATGAGTAAAACCAGGCCAACAGCAAGTGCGTGTTTTGTAGTGATTTAGCATTTTATATCTGTTAAGAGTAGTATTTAGCAGATGTTTGACATCTTTAGTTATAGCCCCAGCTATAACTTTAGAAATATGATATGAGGAAAATTACATTGGTTAAATTCTTGTCTTCATGTCGTATGACAGAATTCTGTTGGACTCTTGTGGGTCCACATTTTTGACCTGTGCTTTAAAAATCTAGAGTTCAGCTGCTAACTTGCAGGCTTTTTACCCAAAGCAAAATATTAAAAATAATACTCTCCTTATAATGCTATGTAAATGAGTAATTATTTTTTCTTAAGAGCAAAGTTCTGTCTATGCAGAATGCCACAGAAACAATAGCTGGGAAAAAAAAAGTGTATTCAGACTGATTTGAAGAGAGTATATCAAACCCTTAAGATACGTGTGCAAACTTATGTGTTGGTGCTTAAAATGCTCATGTCTGGTGGTATTAGTGCTTGCCATAAGTACAAACAAGCATCGGTGATACCAGTGCTATCCTAAGCCTCCCCTGCCTGTGGACAGTCTCAGCCTCTGGTTCTTGCCATTGCACTGATGCTAACAACAAGGTCACTAATTTTGGTGATTTTTAGGTAACATTGGATATTTGTCCAATATATGGCAAGTGACTTTAAAGTTAGGAAATAGTTTTTTAAAACTTGCCTATTGTTAACACGGTGATCAGTCCTGGTTTTAGAAGAGTAATTCAGATGGGTGGATTCCAGGTTTGGTTTATGAATGTGCTTGAGGTTAAGCTGTTCTTCAACTTACCCCCAAAATAGCTCAAAAAAGAAAAAAGTATTGCAGTTCTTTAGTCAACAAGCAATTTTCTTTTTCTTTCCTTTAAAGAATTTCCAGAACAGAAGTTATTTGCTGCACTTTTGATCAAATGCGTTGTACAACTGGAACTCATTCAGACTATCGACAATATTGTGTTCTTCCCAGCAACTAGCAAAAAAGAGGATGCAGAGAATCTAGCAGCAGCACAAGTAAGTAGAACTGATAGGTATCTCTCTTTTTAACAGCTTTTTCTCTGGCGGATAAAGTTTCATAAACTCCTGTAACATCTTGTAATTTACAATTTTTAGAAGCGCTTGAGAACTTCCAGCAGACTGTTGAGATCTTTTACATCTTGCATTAAATTGCATTTGCTGTGCTGGGGCAGCACACTGTGGAGATTAAAACATATATTATTCAAAGGGATTTATGTATCTGGGATGTGGATACAACTTTTAATACAGTTTTAAGTTTAAATACAAGTACAGATGAAAACAGGGTAGGATTGAGTCATCACAGGAGCTTGCTGAAGACAATTGTGAATTTTTACTTGAAATCTCTTTTTTTTTTTTCTTTCTTTTTTTTTAATAGAGAGATGCAGTAGACTTCGATGTCCATGTGGATACACAAGATCAAGGGATGTATCGTTTTCTAACATCACAGCAGCTTTTCAAACTTCTCGATTGTCTGCTGGAATCTCACAGATTTGCTAAAGCATTTAATTCAAACAATGAACAAAGAACTGCTCTCTGGAAAGCAGGTGAGTCAGTCACCTTGGAGAAATATTTTGCGAGAATGTGTTACTGTGCTTTGAATTGACCCAAATATAGGTCAAAAGTACTTTGATGCTGAGTGTAAAATTGAATATCAGGCTGTAACTTTATAACTCTAGAATTCCTAAGGGGAGCAGACTTCATCTGTGCAGGTGCAAATATCTTTTTGATTTCTTAAAATTTAAGGTTTCACTGGGTTACGGCTGCCAAGCTTATCCCTGGCTGTAGCTGTGAGTCCCATGCTTGGAAGCTGCAGGCACAAAACCCCAAAACTTGTTAGGGGGGTTGTTTTACCTACCAGTGTATGAGTGAAATATATGTCATTTTCTGAAAGAGATGGAAAATGAACTCTCTGTAGCATTGTGTTTAATCTATTCCTTGCACCAAAGTTAGATATGTTAATATTTTTAATGGTGAATGTATAGTGTGAATGTGCAGCAAGCTGTTTTGTGCATTGATGCATGCATACACAGAACCATTTCAGTTTGAGTGAGGTAGTATTAATATTTATGGGTATGCTTTTTGCTAGTATAGGACCTCCACTAGTGAACGGAGTTTAATTATACGGTAACAGCTTTGGAAACAGTAATATTGTAGACATTTTTGTCAAAAACAAGCGATAAAACAGTATACAGTATAGATACATGATTGAGACAAAACGGTCCATTGTTCAGGTGGTTAGAATGCGCTTTTATCATACACCCAGGTATGGTGATTCATACACCAATGATACACACATCTACTTGGAAGCTTACATAAAAATGGGTGCCAAACACAATTATGGTGTATATACTTAGGTTAATTTTTAGAAGTACTCCATTGTACTAGACGTCGTGAGAAATTAATTACATAAGGTGGTTCTTCTAACCGTCTACGTGCAGAAGATGCTTCAAAGGAGAAGTAGGGGTCTGTAAGGGAAAATGTCAGGTGAAACAAAAATCTAAATGGATGCTTGGAATTTCTCTAGGTTTCAAAGGCAAATCAAAGCCTAATCTTCTGAAACAGGAGACTAGTAGTCTTGCCTGTGGGTTGCGCATTCTGTTCCGTATGTACATGGATGAAAGCCGTACCAGTGCATGGGAGGAAGTCCAGCAAAGACTACTAAAGTAAGGTCCATGTAGCTGAACCTGTTGATGTAATTTCTGATGTTAAAGAATGTTTATTTTTATTTAAAAGGATAGACCTCTGTTGGCAGTAAACCTCCTAGAGCTAACACAGTATGGTGGTGGTCACAGCTAATACTAAAAGAGTTTTTATGTTGTGTGGAGAGTGCTGTGCCTCCAGCTACTAATGCTGCTTCTGCTTTTTGTTCTCATTACATGTTTTGCAGGAGAGAACAAAGGTTTTGTCACCTTCTCTTTTTGTAGCGTGTGGGTAGATGGGGGATTGTTATAGCTCCTCTTAAAAAACAAAAGCAGCTATCACCTAAACCCTGCTTTTTTCTTTCAGTAACCTCAGATATTTTAGGGAACTGATGCCGTTGGTTCTCATCTGCAGAAATGAGCAGTGGGCTTGAGGAGCCTATGGGCATACAGAAGCTTTTGGCTTTTTGGTTATTCATTGCTACGAATACTAAGATTCACCTGGATGTTTTTAGTTACAAAGTTGTTTGAGTGTTGGAATAACAGAGGGCTTAAGACCATGGCAGTAATATAGTGAAAGTATTCTAAGGTTTATAGACCAGGGAGCAGAGCTGAAAACTACCTGGTTACATCAGCGTGATACTAATTTTTGAAGTCTGCCTATCATTTTGTTACGTGCATTTTAATACCTCTCAAAGAGCACTTGGTACACTTGAAATATATGCACAAACAGCATGATCATGTTTTGTCAGCATATTTGATACTGAAGTCCTAGGACTTTGGTTTTGAGTTGAACAAAATCACTGCTTTCTTTTACTAATTAGGCTTACAGTAGCTTTCATAAAACGATGCTGTTCTACACCAGGGCTCTACACTGGTATATTTGCAAAGCCAAAGCTCCCTCTCTGCAGTAGAGCTCAAAATAAAATGTTAGCTACTAATTTTTGTGTCTTTTCTCTCTAGTGTCTGCAGTGAGGCTCTGAGTTATTTCCTCACTCTTACATCAGAAAGTCATCGGGAAGCCTGGACTAATCTATTACTCTTATTTTTGACTAAAGTCCTGAAGATAAGTGATGAAAGGGTAAGTAACTGTTTGGGATGGTATTTAGGACAACGTTTACAGGTAAGAAATAGTTCCAGACCGGTTCTTCACACGCAGTTATATACTTGACTTAGAAGCTCCTTGACTTAGTGCTCTGTAGACACTTTTTGTTGAGGGAATGTACATTGAAACTGCACTTGACAGATACTGACAGTAGCAGTGCAGAGTGAGGGTGCAGTGAGTGATAACATAAAATGTGTCTGAGAAAATTTAAAAGATGCTAAAATCCTTTAGAAGGGTGTGTTAAGTTGCTTTTACCCCTCTCCTGCTGAGGAAGAGCATTAGTGGCTGATATTCAAAGAAATAACTCCTGTTTCTGCTTCCAGTGCTACATCACCTTGACCTCCTGCAAAGCAATTCTGTAGTAAATAAACCCGTATTTAGATCTCTCTCTATTTCTAACAAAACTTGGCTGAAATATTAAGTGAAAGGGGCCAACTACAACAAAAAACTTAACTGATAATAGAAAAATTATTCCTCTTGAAGAATAAGCATGCGCAAGGAGCTATGTGTAGCTAGTGAGCATCTGTCAGAGTACATCACAGCTGTCTTAGCCTTATTCTAGCACTGCCAGCTTCAGTTATAAAGATGTTTCTGCTTGTCACGTTGTGGGTTTCTCACCTTGACTTGGGAGAGTATTTAAAATTCTTCACTTGCAACACACTTTTTGAGGTGTATTGATGCATAATAGAATAATTTCTTCTGTTTATTTTCTCCTCAGTTCAAGGCTCATGCCTCATTTTACTATCCTCTGTTGTGTGAAATTATGCAGTTTGACCTTATTCCTGAACTTCGAGCCGTTCTACGAAGGTTTTTCCTGCGGATTGGTGTGGTTTTCCAAATATCCCAACCACCAGAACAAGAGTCTGGAATAAGCAAGCAGTAGCAGATAGTGACTGAGTATTGCTCGGTTTAAAAGTTTATATTCCTCAGCTAAATAAAAGGGCCAGGTAGCTGAGCCATTCTGTCTGGATATCCATAAAAATGGTTTCTTTGTATGGCAATGTGTATCCAAGGGTTAATGGTACAGATGCTTACAACTGTAATTAAGGCTTGCAACACTCCAGTCCCTTTATTTCCTGATGGATTATCTCTATCGGTTTCTCTTACCTGGCTCATGCTGAGCACAGAGCCAGTTTTTAGCACAGTCCTCTTTTCAGCATGGGCTGCAATATCCTTTACTGTCCTAGACAGCAGTATAGCAACAGATGTTTATGGCGGGTGTGAAAGTAAAATGTACCCAAAGAACTATATATGTAAAGGTTTGAGCTTCTGCAAGAAGTACAACTCAGGAGAGCTGTATTTTGAAGGATAAAATGTTTATAGTGAAAAGAAAATGGAGATTATTGTTCATGGTAAAAGATATTTAGCAACTATGTCTGATATTCTTATTCTAAGATTTTTGCACACTCAGGCTGTCTGAGACATTGGTAATCATCCTTCTGTGAAAAATGTACAGAGATGCAGGTCTGTAATATAAACTCTTTAACACTATACAGTTCTTCCTGAATTGTTTTATTTCTGTATTATTGATTTGCTGAAAACCCATAACACTTCATTGTTTACCAAATGCACTAGAAGTTTGGGTTTATGTTTTTTGGGTTGTGATTTTTTTCTTTTTTTCTTTTTTTTTTTTTTGTTTTATTTTGTTATAGCCAAGAAGTTAGTGTTGCTGACTTTTGTCAAGAACAGAGGTAGAAATATCATGACTGACTTAACTACCTGTAATATACTTGTTTTAGGGCTTTTAACTATAAGGAGCCATTGAAATGATGATCCTTCAAGGACTGGAACTTGAATCACTGCAAACAAGTCTAGGTTGTGTCTGCTGTCAGATGTTTTTTGTTTGATGTAGATTTCACTCTTATGTACAGAATTTAATGTTGAATATATTCAAGTAACAAATCTGGCATGGTTTGGGGATGGTTAAATTTATTGGAAATGTATTCATACTGTGAATTGTGCTCTGATGGTTAAAAGACAAGATTGTCAAGCATTCTGTATTACAATGGATGTAGAAATTTTTTTCAGATGGACAAAATGTATATGGTACAGATATGTAAAGTTTTCTATGTAAAAAAAAATTCTGTACAACTTTCTGTACAATATTTGGTTCTCATCTGGCATATTCTAATCAGGTTATAGGTCAATAAAGTTTTTGAACTCTTTCATCAGTGCAATCAAAACCAGTCTAATCCACAGCTACTTGTTTTACAGTTTCCTTTGCCTCTCACGCTCTCGTTTCAAAGGAACAAACCCCAGCTCTCCGGGGGCAGAAAGGTGGATGCCCTTTGGTTGACTAGGATGTGTCTTCTCACTGTTAGGCAAATACAGGGTGAAAAAGAATGGTAAGTTCAAAAAAAAAAAGAAAGTGCTTGGAGGTGGACTAGTCAAATGAACCCTCTAGTGCTGCACAGATAGAAACTCAAATACTGCATTTTGCTTTCTGGGGATTAAAATATTGATACGAAACAGACTATGGAATAAGGGCGGATGGGAGGGAAGGGCTGGGATTACAGTTCACCTGGCTGCTGAATGAGAATACATCAGCCTGCTGAGCCTTGTTTTTGTAAGTAAAAGTGGAATTGGATTGTTGTCCAGTGTGTTCTCACGACTAGCAAAGAAAGGAGAGAAGCACGAAGACTGAAAAAAGTGGATGAGGGAGCCTAATCTCAAAGGGGAATGAGTCTCCCTGTAGCCGTTCACAGCAGGCTCCAAAAGTAAGTGTAAGCAGTTCAATGAAATAGCTATGGGAAAGCCAGTGAAGGGAATTAAAAGGCATGACCTGTGACTAGGAGTTTTCTCATAATGTTAATTGGGGTGGAGCAAGTCAGAAGTAGAGAATTGAGGTTATTTTAATTAACTGTAATTGTACAGCCTTTCCTCTTGGGCTGTGTTTTATTTTTTCAGTTTGTTGTGTAATGTTTAAGTCTTAAACCACTGTATGAGGCCAGACCTAAGGTCTTTCTTGTCTGTTTGACAGTGATCAGTAATAATTCTTAGAGTAAGGCATAATGTGTCCCATCCCTATTGATGCCATACCCTCCCCCGTGCCTGTGGCAAGCAGTGTTCTTGGTACCATTACCAAGGTGTTCCTGGCACTGTTACCCAGAACGCTGTTTTAACAGCCATTTATGTCTCTGTTATCCATGTGTCTGCCTAATTCCTTTTTAAATGTCTGTGTTCAAGATTCAGCATTCAGTGGCAGTGAGTACAACAGATAGAAGTTCGGTAGTCTGGGTTGGGTTTTTTTTTGTTTGTGTTTGGTTTAAACCTTACAGCTTCATTGTTCTGTTGTGTACTCCTATTTAGTAGTGACTTTTTTCTTAACAGCATGACCTTCTCATGCCTTACCTTATCACTGTTAGTCTTGGTTCATTGGAAACGGAACTCCCGTATCATCATTACTCTTTTCTATACCTCTCTTTAGTTCTTGCAGTGCCAGAACTGCACTGGCTGTACTCTGGGTGTCACGTTCAACTGGCGGCTCTCTAACCACTCACGTCTACAACGATTATCAGAAAAGTGGGGTCGGGGGCAGGAAGTGGGTTCTGTTTTAGTCAACTCAGCTGTGGGTTGCAGCTGCATTTATTTTGCAGATGAGACTGTCACGATAAAAAGAAATTTCAAAAAATTAGGAAGGCAGGCAGAAAGGCCCTGCCTACAACTGAACTTTAGGTATGCAGAGGAAGCTGAAGGAAAGGTTTGGAAAGGAAAGATGTTTAGGACCAAGAGTCTCCCAAAGGGTAGCCTGGATGCCAAAGGGAGGGTCGCTGTAAGGAGGAGTGTCATTCACTGTGCTAAGTGCTGCTGAGCAGTGAGGTTAAAGCAAGTTCAGTGGTTTCAGGTCACTGCAGAGGTGAAGGAAGCAACTTGAAGCGGGGGCTGTGCAGTCTCCTAGACTTGAACTGGAGGAAACGAACAGCAGCCTGTGATGGCAGTGACATTTACAAAAATTCCTGCAGTTAAATGAGGCTGGCTTTTTAGGATAACACTAACTTTATACTTCTATCAGGGGGTGAAACTTCAATCAAAGTTCAGGGAATAAAGAAAAATCAAACTGTAGGCCACTAGATGAGGAAGAAGAGAAGACAAGCTGTATATCTAGCAGGGAGTTAGTGCAGTGAATGTATCACAAAGCTTGTCTCATGAATCAACCGAAGAGTCATCAGGAATCAAAAACAAGGGGAAGACGGGCAGGTGACAAACTGAGAGGCTCTGTGCTAGGGTGATAATGGCATTAGGAAACATTTTTACCTTAGCTGCTTAAAATTATTTTGGGATTCCTGCCTCTGGGAAATTCAGAATTGAGCAGCCATGAGGCCTATGCTACACGCTCTAGCCTAGGTCTTGGATTACACTAAGATCCCTGCATTACTTACTGGCCATGGCTGTCATACCCAAACTGACAGACGTGATAAGCCATTTCTGGCTCATCAGCTAAGAATCAGCCTGATTTGGCACGTCCTCTCTGGGAGAAAACATGGTAAACCTGTGAAGAAGCTAAGTGCAACACAGTGTTGAAGTACATCTCTGTCAGTAAGCATCTCCTGCCTGCCGTCATCACAGAAGTGCTGTGGCCTTTAAGCAGGTAGACAGAAGTTTGAGGGTGGCATTTTAGTAAAAAATAAAGAAATTTTTACAAATTGTTTTTGTTTCATCATTTGATTTTTCCCTGCTGGTCAAGCATTCCTAACCAAGAAGAAAGTCACACCCTTACCCTTGCTTCGCCTTGGTGTTTCAGTTCACTGAACTAAAATCTTGCTTCCATCTACACATCCTTCTTGCTAAAGCGCCGTGCTTTTATTCAGCAACTTTTCCATGTGTTTTTCCTGCTTCTTTGAAGACAGCCTAAACATTCTAGTTTGTTCATGAGTAAATATAAGCCGAAGCAAATGATAAACTACGAAAACTGAAGTCTGCTTTCACATTTTTAGTAACAAAATAATTTATTAACTCTTAAATCAGAACCATAAATTAAATATATGCAACAATATCTGTATTTCCAGCACATAACAGGTTAGGGAACAAAAGATACATTGCTAATAGTCATTTTTCCATGAAACTGTTCACTGAGCTTTCATGCAGCATAGCACTCATCACTGTATGAAAAGCAAGTGCCCTTTTCCAAGTTATTTACTCTTTTGGTAAAAGCTTAAAATGCATGTCTGCCATTGGGTTACTCTGTTTCCAGACAGTTTTGGAGTTTGCCTACAAACAAAGCTAAAAATTAACTTTGATTTAATATCAAATTCACACACACACTCTGTTTTTGTGGCAAGTCCCACTCTGAGGCTGAAACTTGTATAAAAAGTGCAAAACCTGCCAAGCTATTCCTCCACTTTCCAGTCATGTAATACAAAACATCCCTGCCCTACATCTCCATTACACTGCAGCTTCTGTTGCTTCATTATTGCTATTTTACATTACACATACAGCTCCACACTATGTACATGGAAGAGAACCATCCCTACAAGAGACGCTGGAAAGTGCAGGAGTGCGGAACCGTCCCTCCTCTGCGGCAAGGCACAGCTGGTTCACGCGGGGCTTGAGTCAGCCGTGCGCGGTTGAGAGGCCTTGCCAGCTAAGCGGTAGCGTGGTTTCGGGCGAAAGCTTTGCTGGGCTTGATTGTTCAGCCATGAGCCTCTGGAGCGTCTCTGAAGTTCCCGGTCGCAGCCAGGGCTCTGTTGCAACCGTGTCAACAGAACTGGGCCGTCTGCCAGCGTTAGATGGAGCGTGCTTCAAAAGGTCATCTGCTTCGCCTAAGGAAATGTTATCACCTGAGAGAGAAGGAGAGCAACGTACATATGTTAAAGGGGACAAAAGCTTATCACATCTTACCACAACATTCTGTTGTATTGAACAGGCTCATTTGTCTGCAATAAATGCATAAATAATGCTTTTAAATTACATTTTTGATGTTCTGGGGAACTGGGCCCATCTACTCAACAGCTAAAGACTCCAAGTCTTTGATGTCTAATGCCAACAGTTCCTCCCCCTGCCAGATCAACAAGGGGCGATACAGGCAACCTTGGATGGACATGGTAGAAGGTTCTTGCTTGCCCAAAGCCTCCTATTACAGCAACAAGTCAAATCTGTCAGTGCATATATGCATAGAAAATGCATATAAAAACAAGGGCATTAAATTACAGTGTTATGGCTAAACGGTCTTGTATAGACAGTCTCTCACTCGGCGAGAACTCAGGAAGAATTATTTTAATACTGGTAAGCAGTGCAAATGCAAGCAAGTCTGTACATCACAGTCCAGCATAGCTAATAACTTTAATGCAATGTCCTTCTGAAATGCATACTGGGTAAGTCGTCATCTTCCAGCTACAAAACAAACCACGCAAACACCCTCCCCCCCCAAAAAAACCCAAAACAGCCTTGCTTTTGAACTTGGGGTCGTTATCACTCTGAACTCTACCATTACTTGTTTCGATTCAGTCAGCAATCATACATACCTAATACCTTAAATAGTTTTTAGTGTGGATTATCAAGCAACATAAATTT